ATATGTTGTTACATTATTGCACTCGTAGTAAAAGCAAAAGACGACACACTTTGCAAAAAAAGGCCTTCATGGCAACTTCAATCCCAACATTCGAAAAACAGAACACGCACCCGAAATCGACTCTGACACCTAGACACGTCACCCACATTGACAGCATACTACACGACAATTACGATCGGCACGTGCACGCGCTTGAAGTTGCCCCCGTCGAAGATGCGTTGGACTACGCCATCACCAACAATCCAAGCCGCCGACACCGTCCTCACGGGCGCGCCGTACGAAAGAACAACAAACAAAACTGTCGACACACGCCGCCTCATGTAACCCAACCCACAGCGGAACAACCACTTCTACATGAAATCCCCACTTCCACAAAACGGGGTGACACACACAACAACGACAATGCAGACGACCACCCCTTCAAGAACAAGACGCCTCCCACGTCGTCCGCTCCTGTTTCTCGCCTGCTCCCTGCGTCGTGTGCTCCGGTTTCTCGCCACAGCCACGTCATCGCAGCCGCCCGCTCTGCGCGCCTGCTCGTGTTCACTACGTGCCCATTCGCTCCGCCAGTGCGTCCTGGAGAATGAGTGCATCCCCCGTCGGCGTCAACAACTCCATACACATCGGCCTCAACGGCCGCTGCATCCCAAGGTTCACCCTGCGACGCACACCGTCCGGCCCGACCTCCCACAGTAGATTGTCGCCAAATGGGATCCCCGTGTCGACGAGTAAGTTGTGCAGAATGCAGACGACGACGAACTGCTGCGGCAACGTCTCCATATTCATTTTGTGGGAGCGAAGGAACAACGTCCACATCCCCTTCAGTCTGCCGAAAGCCCTCTCAACTGGTCCACTTGTCGTCTTCTGCTTGTTGTCGAAGCTCAGCTCCCACGGGTGCTGTGAGAGACCGCCATAGGGGACGACTACCCATTCGGAGGGGGGATAACCGTTGTCGCCCAATAAATACCCGTTCGTTTGCACACCGAAAGGCAGCACGACACGTGGCCCAGTGAAAAGCTCACCTGCCTCCGCGCGCGCCCATAAACTCGACAGGTGGACGATCCTCACGTCGTGGCAACTTCTCGGATATCCGATGAACACATCCAGCACGCGCAAGTTCAGATCGACGACGACCTGTGCCTGGACGGAGAAACGACATTTTCTATCGTAGTAGTCCTCCCTGGGGCAATTCGCTGGCTTACTCGATGAAGATGCGGGTGCAGTCGATGCACCCATGGCGGTTAGGGAAACCCTTGTCAGCAAAAGCGCACAAGACGACCGCCTCTAGCAGCCCCGTCGGCCACGATATCTTGTCGGGGTATGCACTCAGCAATGCAACAGTTACATCCCGCACAACGCGCAACCCTGAAGATTTGCCAATGCCGAAGTTGCATGTCCCGCTCTCGTACGTCTCCCCCGATGCCCACCTGTGCAAAGCGTATGCGACAATGTGGTCAGTCTGGAGGGGCTCCCTATAGAAAGTGACACGCCGTTGATGGAAGGGAGACATAGCTTCCACAATCTCTCGGAACACACATGGCGACATGCGCAGCCTGTCCTTGAAGTAGTCGGTCGTCTCGTCGTCGCCTTGCCGCAGATCCTCCCACGTTCCCCCTATCCGTCGCTTCATCCACCACCTGGGCGCCGCTCTGGGAAATGCTCCACACCTCATGGCGTAGCACACCTGCAGCACGGCGTCGCAAATGACACCATTGTCCTCTACGTCCACATTCATGGACTGCAGCGTCCTCTTCCACCGTGCGCGAATGACCACTCCCATCCTCCCCTCCACCCTCTGCAATTGACACCGGAAGAGGATGGCGTTCACGGCCGCTGCCACCACCGTCCTCTCCGCCTTGCTCAGTGTGTCACGGCCCGCCTCCCCGTTCATGTCCATTGCCAAAACTGGTACTGTCGACGTGGGCGTCGCCAAGTACAGAAGACTCCACGTGTGCCGGGGCGCACAACAGCGATGCTGCGAGTGATGACCGGAGTGCACGGCGTACAGGTTGATGATTAAGGTGCACTGGCGAAGACGACAACGATGGCGATCGTGTGACGGTGTGTCTGCTGCTTCGGACGTTTATGTGTACGTTCGGCGTGCCCGCCGACACACAACCGCCACGCCGTACCCAAACGCTTCCGCCGAGGAACTTTGCTGCCGTCAGCCGCAAGGGACGCCCACGACGTCGTCACTCGCTTGCGGAAATTCAAATTTCGAATTTCGAATCTGGGACTGCGCGCCTTTTTCGTGGCCTTTTTGTTTTTCGCTGCCAACTTTCGAATTTGCGGCGCCCACCCGATCTGGACCAACGACGTCGGCACGAACACACCTTGCTGGACCAACCTCACCCCCCCCTTGAGTCCGCTTGTCGATATATGAATCTGGCCGCGGAAGGCGCCGAGGAATCGTCCTCGGGGAACAATTCCGAGGATGAGTGGAACGACGGCGTGAATTTCCTCGGGCGACGATGGGAGAATTTCCTTGGGCCCCGAGGACGGCCCAAGGAGTGTCGAACGAGCCCCTCTACCGTATGAGCAACTACCGGAAATGGATCGAACGTGTGATATGCCAGACTGGGGAGAACATCAGAACACCCGAGACCAACACCCCAAGCAAATCCTGTGAAACCCACAACCAACATGCAACACCGTGGACTACCCTTGGGTGGTGCGTAGGCAGTGTCTGTAATAGTACCATGCGTCAGCCCAAGGGGATGTGTGTCCAGCCGTGCGTCAATCTAATGCCCTGCCGATGTCCATGCACAAGGCTGCGGGGGTTTGAACCCGCAACCTTATACCACAATGCGCATTTCCAACCGGTGCTCTAACCACTGAGCTACATGGCATATTCTCATTTGTGTCCAATGTTCTGTATCCAGCTGCTTTCACGTCCAAAGAGTTGTTGCTTTTTTTTCCTTTTTGCCTATTGCCCTGTTTTGGTGAGGGCGCCCTTTGGCAGACTCAGGTGTACCCAATGTTCTGTATACAGCTGGAGCGAGATCCCACTAGCCATGTATGCGGATTAGTGCGATGGGTGTGGGATGGATGGGGGACAGGTGGGTGGCAGTGTGAAATAGGGAAAATAAACGCAAAAAACCATTCCATGACCAAACAAATGAAGAAAAAACTGATAAAAAAGAAAAGAAAGTGCTCTTCTCACAGATGGTGTCTGCTCCAGGCGGGGTGTCAGATGTCAGGGTATGATTCACTGACCGTGGCTGTGGCAGCCAAGACGACTGCATGTGAGTTGGCGCACATACCATATTCATTGACAATAGCCTGAGGCTTCCCTGAAACAGGCCGCAGTGCACGCTGTTCGTTTGTTCTGACAGAAATTCTCTTTGGCAAAGGGGGGCAAGAGTAAGGGCCTCGCCGCACCACTGTCGAAAATGTGATTTTCGACAGTTTCTCTTCCCCACACAGGCTGTTGAAGTCGGAGACGGGAAGAAAATTGGCCAGTTGTCTGCAGAGAATGCTTCTCTACACTTCCTGTAGAAAGTTGTTGAATCCCCAGCCTGCTACTCCGATGCTCTCGACTGCGCCATCGACTTCGCTTCGAAATTTGGTGAGTGGGGGTAAGGTCGGAATGGACTAATGCTTGTCGTACCCTCAGGCGCGTTCGTCTTTTTCCATCTTGCTTTCACAAGTGCGTGCACTTTACATACAGTTCTGTGTGGCGAAAAGGGGGCAAACTGTCCAATGGAGGCTGTCGAATTTGTTCTGACGGCGGTCAATTTTTTTTGCCTTTCTACTGTGGTTTGGCGAGGCCCTAACTCCATACACCATTACCTGTAGGTGAGGGGATCGAACCCTCACAAACACCTCCCAAACCAGGATCAATTTCCAGTGATGAAGCCATTCGTCTTTGCCTTTCCCGTGAATGAAACGTGCGTGATTTCATGAACCAAAAATTGCGTGATTTCATGAACCAAAAAAATTTGTCTCCGTTTCACGCACGTTTGGGACGGCCACAGGATCCCCACAGCAAAAACGAAAGAAAAACCTACCAACGGGAAAGCAAGAAAAAACATCCTTTTCCCAGGCTTAATTCACAAAGACAGGCTACCCCTGATTTCCTGCGAAATCCACGATGCCTGACAGTCACACACCTTAAACACTTATCCACATACATAGCTTTCACGGCTTTGCGTTTTTTAAGTTTTTCCTTTTTCTTTGCTTTTTTTTTTTTTTTTTTTTTTTTTCCCCTCCCTAAATGCCACTTGCGTGCCTTACAATGTCTTGCGTGCCTTACTAACGGGTCGGTCCGCAGTTTCAAAAAAAAAGGGAAAAAAGAAAAAAAGGAAAAAAGAAAAAAAAAAGAAAAGAAAAAAACTCGGTGCGCACTTCCAAAAAAAAAAAAATAATAAAAAAAATTCAGGGTCGACAAAAACAGGTCACGTTGAGCTAGCTGAGAAGAAAAAGGAGACAGCCAACTCAGCCCGAATACCCCAACGAGGCCTCCCCATTTTTTTTTTTTTGTCCCCCGGAGGGGAGGAGGGCCGCGCCGCACTCTGCTGCAGTGCAATACAGAGGCAACGCTGAAGGGGTCGAGCAAGCAAGCTTACCCGTACGACCCCTCCGCAGCCCAGAAAAATTAATTTAATATCGTAACAGATACTACACTTGATCTTAGCCAAAAGGCCGAGAAAGGTATTGGCCTCCCCCTTTTGTGTAATAAAAAACCACCAGCACCTCCACGTTTTTAGCCCGTTAACGCGGTGGATGCCGCGTGGGTCCAGATGCATTTGCGTCACAGGGGGCCCTACACCCGACCCGTGCGGCTCAGCTTCCCAGTCGCATGAGTGTGGATCTAGGCTTCCCAAGCGCATGCGCGTGGAAAGACTTCCCAAGCGCATGCGCGTGGCAATCCCGACGGCAATAGCCCAAGGCGTCCCAAGCGCATGCCAAGGCTTCCCAAGGCTTCCCAAGCGCATGCCGTTTTCCAGTGGAAAGGCTTCGCAAGCGCATGCGCGTGGCCATCCCGACGGCAATAGCCGTGTGATACGTGATTGACCCGCAGGGCGCATTGGCAGTGCGGTGGACATCGTATTCTCCTCCTCCTCCTCCTCCTCGTCCTCCTCGTCCCCTCTCTCTCTCTCTCTCTCTCTCTCACACACACACACACACACACACACACACACACACAAGCTGCAGTGTTTTGTCTATGGGATCTCTCCGACCTCGGACGACGCTGGATATGGGCTCCTGGACTGTCCTGCGGTTTAAGACACCGTTGGCTATGCGTTCCTGCCGGGGTAGGGCTGCTGTCTTTATCTTCGTTGTTCTTTGTGTAATACCTCCGAACGTGTTCGCTCAGGATGCAACCGAGACTCCTGTCCAGAGAGATGCTACTCCGTCTTCAGCGCCTGCGACTTCCCCAACCTTGTCCGACTCTCCTGTTGCTNAGCGCCTGCGACTTCCCCAACCTTGTCCGACTCTCCTGTTGCTCAAAGAGGCGTTCCTCCGGCGCCGGCTTCGACGCCTGTATCATCCCCACCACCCCCTCCTGAGACTCTCGAGTCGGATGGTGAGTGCTGCTCTGCCTGTCTGCCTGCTCGTCTGCTCGTCTCCTGAACAGCCCACATTCTTATGCCTGCCTCTCGTCTTAAGTTTTCTCTCGCTTCAAACAGATATTGCAAAACGTCAGAAAAAAAAAGGAAAGAAAAAATACAGTTTCCTCTCCCTGTCCCTAGTGTGCTAATCTGCAAGTGTCTTGCCTGCAATTATTGTGTTATAAAAATAGTGAAGATTTTTTTATTTTTACAACCTATTTAACTAATAATCTATTTAACTGAGTACTGAATTATTTCATATATTTGATTATATTATTTGAGTTCATAGATGAAGTCATTAAACGGAAGGGACATTTCTATATCAACATAAAAGTCACAGCTCGCGCGCGTGTTTTGTTTTCGTTTTCTGTTGGTGTGGGATTTAGCCTCCGTGAGTTCTCCTCCTTTCTCGTTTTCCCTTTTCTTTTGTACGCGTGTTTTTGTCTGTGTGTGTG